TTTTTTTTCCTTCAAGGCTTTATCTATGTCATCCCATTGCCTTCTTGCCTGCATGGTTTCTGCTGAGTAGTCCGAGCTTAGTCTTGTTGACTCTCCTTTTGTCTATCCCTAGCTGCTCTTAAAATTCTCTCTTTATCTTTGTTTTTGGCAAGTTTGATTATAATATGTCTTGGTGACTTTCTTTTGGGATCTACCTTGTGTGGAGTTCGATAAGCATCTTGGATAGATATCGGCTTATCTTTCACAATATCAGGGAAGTCTTCTGCCAACAAATCTTCAAAAATTCTCCCTGTATTTTCTGTCATCCCCCTGTTCTGGTACTCCAGTCACTTGTAGGTTATTCCTTTTGATAGAGTTCCACATAATTCTTACGGTTTCTTCATTTTTAAAAATTCTTTTATATGATTTTTCCTCAAATAAGTTAGTGTCAAGTGCTTTATCTTCAATCTCACTAATTCTGACTTCCATTGCCTCAATTTTGCTCCTATGACTTTCTATTGAGTTGTCTAATTCTGAAATTTTATTGTTAATCTTCTGGATTTCTGTTTGCTGTCTCCCTATGGGATTCTTGTAGCCTGTTAAATTTGTCATTTGTCTCTTCTATAATCTTCTTAATTTCCTCTGTTGCTTTGTCTGTGTGTTCCTTGGCTTGTTCTGTGTTTTGTCTAATCTCCTTCCTGACATCTAGAAGAGTTCTGTATATTAATCTTCTGTGTTCTACCTCTGATAATGCCAAGAAGTTCTCTTCTTCTGGAAGATTTCTTGATTCTTTATTTTGGGAGCTTGCTGAAGCCATCATGGTCTGCCTCTTTATGTGATTTTATATTGACTGTGGTTTCAGTGCCATCAATAAGTTATTATATTTCTTTTATGTTTGCTTACTTTGTCCTAGCTTCTTGTTTTGTTTTGGTATGCCCAAATAGGCTGCTTATATAAGCTAGTTTGATTATTGGCACCTTTGAAGCTCTAATGTCCTGTCACCAGGTGCTTAGATATGTTACTAGGTATGTGAGCCCCTGAGTCCATTTACTTTTCTTTTATGGATTCAGCTCAGATGTCCAGGTAGTCAGTCAGCAAGTGTGTGGTGCAGGCCCTCACCTACAGTCCTAGACTGGCAAGGGTGATTGCAGTAGGCACAGGTATCTGGCTGCAGTGGGGGGCCACGGGCTGAGCAAGGTAGGGGGCTGACAGTTGCCCTTGCGTGTCTGGGAGGAAAGTGTGTCTCTGTTCTCTAGAGTGCGTAGATGGGTGGGTTTTGCAGCTGGACTATGGGCACCCAGTGATGTTGGCTGTAAGGACAGGGAGGCACCACTTATTCTTGGACCCTTGTCACAGGTGGCTAGGTGGCATGGGTGGAGCCACCAGTCCTCAGGCCCCTGATGTGGGTAGGTGAGGACCCTGCTTAATGGGCAGAGTGTTGTCAAATGTCACGAACCTGCCACTCCACCATATAGCTGATACAGTGAAGTTAGGCTTCAGGTGTATACCCTGTTGTACTGTGGTAATGAGGGCTATGCTGTTGAAATGGGCCCACACAGGTCTATGCAGGGGTGAAAGGCATTCAAAGTCCGTGGACCCCTTATGCCTGTGCCTAGGCAAAGGAGCTGTGCCTGCCCTGAGTTCCTGGTTTAGGGGAGCTGGCAGATTATTTTTTCCTGTTTATTAATTTGTTCCCTCTCCAAGCCCAGGAGAATGGCTCAGGGCACATGATGGGCCCTACTTCCAGCCCAGGGGAAGTGGCAATCACTGAAGCTGGCCTGGGATCAGTGCAGAGAGTGGAGGAAGCAGGTAAATGGGGGAGAGGCTCTTCCCAAATGGGGTGTTTTTCGATTCAAGAGGTAGATTAAATGGATATACTTATCTTTCGCTGACTGAGCACGCTTTTCACTGGCTCTGGAGGTCTGGGCAGACTCTCCGCTGCTCAGTCTCTCCTGATGTGGAAAATGCATCCCAAACGCCACTGCCCGCTTCACCATGCACACTAGCCAATCTGGCCCACACGCCAGCCGATCCTCAACTTTGCCTTTGATGTTCAGGGCTCCTAGATTGTCATACATAATCAATTCACTTGTTTTTTTGGGTCTTTGTTGTAGGAGGGACCACCGGAAGCATCTGACTACTGTGCCATCGTGGCCCTGCCTCCCCTAGTATAAAAGTTTTAAAGTCATTTCCTACTCAGAAAGTGTATTAAATAAGATTATATACATGAACATGTAACTTGCGGCACACCTAGAAGTAAGCATTTTTATGACATAATTCTGTCAGGATCCCCAGTGCCAGTGTATTAACTATCTAGTGTTGCACACAACAAATTGCCCCAAAAAGCAGCGACATAAAACAGCAAATAGTTATTATCTCACAGCTTCTGTTGGTCAGAAAGTGAGCACTACTTGGATGTGTGCCTCTGGCTCAATGTTTTTCTGAGGTTGCAGTCAAACCATTCTGTGGCACCAGCTGACCCCACCTCTCTTGCCTGCACTGGCACAACCAAAGGAAGACATCTGATCCAAGGTACACGGATAAGGTTGACTCTCTTAGGTATTGGGAATTGGGACACTGAAAAGTGAAGCTAGTTAGATGGTGGGACCTTAAGGTCATGTAGAGATGGAGCTGGAATCAGCGGGCTGGCCAGTCAAGAGGTACACAGGAAGCAAAAGTATCTTTTCAGAAATAGTTTAGTACACTGGTTAGGGACCCAGACTGTGGAAGTAGGCTCCCTGGCTTGAATCATGGTCCCACTTATCAGCTGTGGGATTTTGGGCAGGTTGCTTAACTTTTAGATGACTCAGTTTCCTCATCTGAGTAATGGGGAAACAAATTAGCACTTAACTAGTTGTTGTGAGGATGAAACTAGTTAATACACGCAAGGGATGAAGCACAGTGCCTGGCGTGGAGCACATGCTCAGGAAATGCAGCTGGCTGGTGTTATTCCAGAGGCAAGGAGGCAGCTGAGAAGGCATCAGCAGCCCCAAAGACCCACAGAGGGAGCAGTTCTCGATGACTCTCCAGGTCCCACAGGGCCTGCCAGGACTTCCAGCATTTTACTCCAACCACAAAAAGGAGGAGCATTTCCTATGGCATTTTACCTAATTAAGTTTTCTCCTCACACTAAGACTTTTTAATTTAAAAATCATACACCACATTTATTTGGTAATTTTATTCTTTTTATTGCAAATTTCTGATAAAGGAAAGAACACGGAAGCTGATTCTCGTTTAAACTTTGGTGATAAGAGAAAGCTGTAGCTCAGTGGCTCGCAACCTTGGCTGCAAGCTAAATCACCTGAGTGCCTTTTGTACACACTCATGCCTGCGTCCCATCCCTCTGAGATGCACATCTAACTGATCTGGGGTGCGGCCAGGGCATCTATAGCTTTTTAAACTCCCCATGTGTTCCAACATGTAGCCAGGGTGGAGAGCCCCTGATAGCTCACTGCATGGGGTGGAACTTAGAAGCACCTGAGAAGTTCAGCCGACAACTAGGTGTCACCTGCTCGCATCACCACCCCCCTCGGCCAGAGTCCAGCTGCCATTCTCCATTCCCCTCTTCCCAGGTGTCAGGTGTGCTGACTCTTCCTCCGCGGAGACCCGGAAGGAGAGAGGTGCTGGGGGAGGTGACACTGTGGCTTGTGCTCAAATGTGGAGAACTGCACTAAATATGGTCACTCTAGCACAAAAAGAAAAGTCGCGTTCTGATTGCAAGGGAGCATTAACCATTTGTTTTCTTGCCTAAGTGGAAAGATTCTTCCTATGTAGAGATGACAAGATGGATGACAAAAAAAGAAATCCGTGTTAGATGACATGTTCTTTATCTAACCCCTAAAGACCAATTATTGTTTTTTTTTTAATTTTGTCAAGCCATTTGTCAATGGGTAGAATATGATGGACTTTAGCTGCATATTTTATGTGGGTAAACAGTAGTAGCCAGTTAGATATTTCATTCGTGATTCATCCTAAAAATAGAAAATGCTTTTATTTTCCTGAGTCCTTGGCAAACAAAAAGAAAGTGTTTAAATTTTTTTTTTAAGTATTCTTGTTTTTCTTTTTCCTGGGGTACCTCATAGTTTAGAACAGCACGTCTCACTATCAGTTTTCACAAACACTGGTGAACAAACAGCATTGGTGCCAATTTTCACAACGAATCCAATATGGCAATGGAAAACAAGACACCCATCAGCTCCAAAGTTGCTCAAGATGAAAGTTTCTCGACAATGTTATAAATGCAATTATCAATTTGATTCTCTGTCCATACAAAAGTATGAATTTCTAATCCATTAACAATACTGAACGATTAATATCTGAATAGTGATAACATTTTTAGGACATTTAAAAAATATATAGGATCCCATTTTTACATTATAATTCTGATGTATTATCATGCCTTCTATTTTGTCTGCAAAACTTCTCTAGGGTACAGTGCATTGACATGATAAAACCAAGGCACAAGAATATAGTCACAATAAGTGTATGTAAACCCTAGCACTTGGTGCCAATTTTGGAAACATTTAGAGAGGAGATCATAAAGCCTAAAAAATTCTTACATCCTGTTATGGTTAATGAACAATTAATTGTACAATAAACAGACTGTTAACCACCGTTCCATTAGTAAATATATGGCTCTCACTATACAGGCTGTGGATAATTGAAAAATAGTTTTAAATATTAAAACGCAGTATATCTAGGTGGTTGCTGTAGATATTGTGCCTTACATTTTCTAGATAATCATCTTAAGTTTCCCTTTTAATTTGCAATCTATGTGGCAGTTATCAATTCTTAAGACTATTTGCATTACATAAATTGTAAGTTTTTTCTCAATTGTTAAATCCCTTCCCCCTAGAAAAGACAGAGAAGATTTACAGGAAGATAACCAATGTAAGAAACGCACAGACAACAATAAAATTCAAATATGGACTCCAAAGTTGAATTCTAACCTATCGGGGCATTCTCTTAAAATTTAGGGTAAGTAGAAACATTCCTGTGACAGCTCCTTAATTTCTTGATTTAAAGAAATCACCATGACATTTTCAAAATAGGAAACAGTGTTGGCTAGAGCATCGAGCATCAAAGAAAAAGTAAGTCTTTTCATTCATAAAACAAAGTCTTTCAAAATCCAGGGGGCAAAAATTCCATTGAATTTAGATAATTGAAACAAAATGGTAAAAATCGTATTTAATAATTTTAAAGAAAGTATCTTCGAGACTCAAGGTAAACTTTTAGACCCATGAAAGCACATCACTTGGCACATGCACACCATGGATGGAACGATCCGCAATGCAGTGACAGCCTGGCTGCAGAGCTCTGAGCCCCGCTGGCAAGAGCTCCTTTCAGGTCCTTGTCCCAACTCCCTTCACATGGGAGCTTCCGGCTTCTGCATCTGTTGGATTTGCTTCTGTAGCTGGTCCCTGTCCAGCTTCATCTTGGCTTCGAGAACTTGCCTGAGGGATCCTATGCTTTCATAGATGGCTGCAAACCCTTCAAGAAGAGGCAGATTTCGCAAAAGTTAATATTAAAAAATACTGCATCCAATTCTACAGCATACAGTGATAATCGCTCCTAGCAGAAATTATCAACAGATGCTGTAACTACTGGAGTACAAGTCTGATGGGGAATAGAACATTTACATAGTATAGAATATTTGGAGCCCTGGTGGCACAGTGGTTAAGAGCTTGGCTGCTAACCAAAAGGTCGGCAGTTCGAATCCACCAGCCGCTCCTTGGAAACTCTATGGGGCAGTTCTACTCTGCCCTATAGAGTTGCTATGAGTACGAATCGACTCAATGGCAATGGATTTTATAAAATATTTACACAACATTTCCACTCAGATTACTTTTTAATTACAAAGGGCAAAAAGGAGCCATTACAATGGAGAAATCTGGCAGATCCCACCTTAATCAAGTGATCAAAGCTGACATCACCATGTATGTCCTGATAAACTATCCTGAGAAGGACACCACGTCACTTTTGTGGTATTTGTGTCCAAAACACATAACCTGAATCTAACCCAGTTAGAGGAAGCAAACAAACCCAAACTGAGGACCTTTACAAAACACTGGCCTATAGTCTTTAAAAATGGCAACATCACTGAGGAACTGTTACTAAATAAAGGGGACTAAACAAAGAAACATAGTGTCTAAATGTGATGTGTAATTCAGAGTAGATCCTGGAGCAGGCAAGGTTTGTTATAAAATACATGAAACAATTGGCAAAATTTGAATACTGAAAAAGATTTCATCGGTGTTACATTGCACTATGGTTACTTTTAAAAACGTCCTTATTCTTAGGGTGTACATACTGAAGTTATAAAGGGGTAAAGAGACATGACTTCTGCAACTTACTCTCAAATGACTCAGAAAAAAACTGATACACACACACACACACACACACACACACACACACACATAGGACGAGATGAAACAAATATGTAAAATGTTAACAACTGAGAAATCTAGGTGAAGGACGATAGTGGGTTTTTTTTGTACTACTCTTGTAGTTTTCTTAAATTTGAAATTCTTTCAAAATAGGAAGCTAAAGGAAGAAAAAATTCCCCATCAAAAAGCATTTCATCTTATTCTGTATTCCTATTGTTGCTAAAATAATGTTTAAAAAGTCTTGTTTTTATTAGTAAATTTACAATTTTCTCCCAGAAAGTTTTCTGAAAGTTCATGAAAAACAAAGTGTAAAAATTACCTGCTAAAAATAATGTTCTAACTGACATGGAAAGATACAACATAGTACAAAGTTAAAAATCAGGTTATAAATCAGGATATGTAGTATGACCCTTTATTTGAAAAAGTACATATATATCCTACATGTATAGAAATATATGTATCAAAATGATCTCTACATGAGAGGACTTAGGACTTCTTAAAATTTTCTGTGTTTTTTTGAATTTCTGTTCAGAAATGTATTGGTTTTTTAATAAGAAAACAGTAAATGCTTTTACTTCTAAAGGTTCATACACATTTCTTCTCATGGTACTAAATATTAACAGTCCCAATGGTATGTTGAATACATGACAACAAATTCATTCAGGAAATGATGCAAAGTTAAACATCGATGAAATATTCAAATACCATATTCAAATGGCCCAAACGACCAAGGAAGAAAATTCATGTTTATCTACATAAATTCTCTAATCCATAAATGTACCAGGGAGGTGTACTGCCAGCAGTAGAAACTATGCCCTCCAAAGCCCTGCAAAGGTATATGCTTATTTCTGAGACATGCTGACCTTGGCTATGGGCAGACAAAAACTGGTAGATGGCACTAAAGGAAATGTACACGAGTTGCAAGCTACGAAATCTTCATTGGGTTTGCCTTTCCCTCATGGAGGTGCTTCATGAATTTGAAATTAAAACAGCATTTTAATTCAATACACATAGCTACTAAGAAAATTACCCAAGAACACTACACCACCGTTACTGCTACTCAGGTTCATAGGTAGTTGTAAAGTTTTAAATCAAATAGAAAATAAACCATGGGAGCTGTTTTCTTTTGGACCCACCAGCGTTAACTTCTGCCTTCATCTCCTTCATGTCCTCATTCATCTGTAGCTCAAGCTTGCTGATCCTCCCGTGCAGCTTCTCCTCTTCCTGCTTTGGTCTCTGTACTTCCAGAGTCTTCTTTTGACCCTCTTCTATTTTGTCAAGTCTGGCTGACATCTGGCTGAGCTTCTTCTCCACGTCCCTCTCACTGGCTCCCTGAGACCCACGACAAGAATTGCACTTGGTTACTCCAAAAACAAATCCTACACTGTATTCACATCGGCCAGAATAATTTAACAACAATCTGCAGGGAACAGAGTCACAAAGGTTGCTAGTCGCCCACCCTAATATCCGTTCTCCCTTTCTTCCTCAACCCACAATTTTTAGCTGGGTACAAGATCACCAATAATACCAAAAAAAAAAAAAAAAATCCCATTGCCATCGAATCAATTCCAACTCATAGCGACCCTATAGGACAGAGTAGAACTGCTCCATCGGGTTTCCAAGGCTGTGAATCTTTACAGAAGCATACTGCCACATCTTTCTTCCTCAGAGCGGCTGGTGGGTTCAAACCACCGACCTTCTGGTTAGCAGCCAAGCATTTTTAACCACTGCGTCACGAGGGCTCACTTCACCCATAATAAAGACTATGTTTTCCACTGTCCCCTAAGTTTGGTGTGGCCATGCGACTAAGTTCTGGTCAATAAGATGTAAGTACAAGTATATGTGGCAGCTACCAGGAAACCTTAAAAGATAGTTGGGGCGTACCCTTGCCCCTTCCTTCTTTCTTCTGTTTCTGGGATTCAGAGGTAATGGCTGGAGCTCTAGCAGCTCTCTTGAACTATGAGGTCATGAGTCACTCTGTAAGACTGGCAGAGAGTTAAGTCAGAATAAGCCTGGGTTGCTGAGGACTAACAAGCTACCACATCAGCCTTGAACTACCTACATCCATATTTCTTTTATGTGAAAAACAAATAAGCTTCTATCTTATTAAAGGCACCATCATCCTGGGGTTTACTGTTAGCTATTACACCAATCTACATGTAAAAATAAACAGTGATACAAAGGCCCAAAAACCTAAATATGTATTAATATGGATCTAAGTAAATCATGCAGTAGACCTAATGTAAATGTAGAAGTATACTAAAAAGGAAATATTAAATATTTTCTTTCCTTTCCCACTGTGCTTGGTTTTTATGGGGATCTGTGGGCAAGCTTTGGAGGCCAGGACTGCAAACACCAGGATGTAGATGGGCTATGGTGTGACAAGACTCACTTGTTGGTGCTCAGCTTAGTTCTGGTGGGAGCCTGGAGTAGAAGAGAAGGAAGGTGAAAGAGAAGATGGAAGATTCTGTCACGTTGCACTGTGAGACCTCATATTGGGACCATAATTCGATGGAGGGGTCTGAGGGAGGAATCTATTCAACACTGGCAAAAACGCAAAACTAGATCATGAAATTAATACAAACTAGGATGAGGCGCCCTGCTGGTGCAGTGGTTAAGCACTTGGTTGCTAACTGAAAGGTCGGCAGTTCAAACCCACCAGCTGCTCCATGGGAGAAAGATGCGGTGGTCTGCTTCTGTAAAGATTTGGAAACCCTACGGGGAAGTTCTACTCTGTCCTACAGGGTCGCTATAAGTCAAGATTGACTCAACAGCAGTGGGTTTAGGTTTGGGTTTGGGTTAGAATGAAGTTCATAATTGTTAGTTTTATTTAGAAATGTAGATGATCAGTTTGGATCATTAAGGTCTTGACTTAAATTCATCTTGGCTGAAAGTACTGAAATTTTCTGTCTACTTAATCTTTGTTAACCAAAACAAGTTAAAATGCTTCTACTCTTTATAAAGAATGCAAAGAATCAATATGAACCACGGAAATGGGTTTGGAGGGAAGAAACAATTGAAAAGCTTTATGTGGTGCTAAATAAATTAATGATAATTTGCTAAGTAATATTCAAATACTGTAGGCCCCCACTGAGTAACTTTACTATTTTATTGTGAAACATCAATACTTACACTGTTTTCCTTAACAATCAAGGAAAGCTGGTCAATTTTCTGTAAAAGTTCTTTTTCTATCCGTTCTTGTTCTTGCTGCAACCAATTCCGTGCAGATAAAATCTCGTTACTGAGTTCTTCAACTGTACCTTTAAATCTAAGAAAAGAGAACAAGCAAACAGCCTCAGTCTCTGACTATCGGATCTCTGATAAATATGTCATCATTACACTCAGCTCAGTCAGAATAAGGTGCTTATTATCTTTTCTGAGAACTGCACTGAGCACTAAGTTGGAGGGCTGGGGAGCAGGAGGGAGGATACAACAGAAAAGCCCCTGATGATGCTTCCTATCTGTGAACAGCTGACTGTGTGGGCACGGAGGTGACACACAGGGACACCAAGCCACCAGGTGCTAAGCTTTGCAGTTCAGAAGGTCCACAGTGCTCCCAGGTCAGGTGGCAGAGTGTCCCGGCTCCCCTTCTGGGCTCCCCCCTCTCCTGGGCTATTCTTCCTTGTCCTTTTTATCTTCCAGGACTGGAGCCTGGCCCCCTTGCTCTCTAATGTTCTCCAATTTGCTCTTGTCCCATACAGACATTACTTATTTTTAAACCAAACAAAATTGAAAGAAAAGAAAAAAAAAAGAAACCTTCCCTAAATCCTCCATTCCTGCTAGTCCCCTCCCTTTCCAAATTCCTTAAAATAATAGTTCACATGTATTGCCTCCTCTTAACTACTTCTTTCTTTTTTTATTATGAAATATAAGACAAGTACAAAATAGTATCTGTGATGTAAATATGCAATTTAAAGAATAATAATAAAATGAGTACCCATTGCAATAGAACCACTTAACTGTCTTGTAATACCTGCTCTCCTCTTCTTTCCTATTAAGAAGCCCCTGTTAACAAAGGCTAAGAAGTTTCCTGAATACAACCAAACATTTCAAGGGACAGAGTAGCAGGGGCAGGTGTCTGGGGACCATGGTTTCAGGGGACATCTAGGTCAATTGGCATAACAAAGTTAATTAAGAAAATGTTCTGCATCCCACTTTGGTGAGTGGCTTCTGAGTCTTAAAAGCTAGCGAGTGGCCATCTAAGATGCATCAATTGGTCCCAACCCACCTGGAGCAAAGGAGAATGAAGAACACCAAAGACACAAGAAAAATATTAGCCCAAGAGACAGAAAGGGCCACATAAACCAGAGACTCTATCAGCCTGAGAACAGAAGAACTAGATGGTGCCCGGCTACCACCACTGACGACCCTGACAGGGAACACAACAGAGAGACCCTGATGGAGCAGGAGAAAAGTGGGTACAGAACTCAAATTCTAGTAAAAAGACTAGACTTAATGGTCTAAGACTGGAGGGACCCTGGAAGACATGGCCCCCAGACTCTCTGTTATCCCAGAACTGAAACCATTCCCAAAGCCAACTCTTCAGACAAAGATTAGACTGGACTATGGGACATAAAATGATACGTGTGAAGAGTGTGCTTCTTAGCTCAAGGAGATACATGAGACTAAATGGGCAGCTCCTGTCCAGAGGTGAGATGAGAAGGCAGACAGGGTCAGGAGCTGGTTGAATGGACACAGGACATCTGGGGTGGAAAGGAGGAGTGTGCTGTCACATTATAGGGAGAGCAGCTAGGGTCACATAGCAATGTGTGTATAAACTTTTGTATGAGAGACTGACTTGAACTGTAAACTTTCACTTAATGCACAACAACAAAAAGAAGCCCTGTTAACTGGGTTTACAGCTGCCTAATCAGAGACTGCCTTTCCCAGCCTCTCTTGCAGCTATGTGTGGCCACATGAGCAAAAATGATGCATGCAACTTCCTGGTCACATCCTGAAAAACAAAGCTTCTTGCCTTGGACTGTCTCCGGATCCTAGCTGGCTGGGAAAGGGCAAGGACTGTGCAGCAGCCTGAAAACCTGCACTGAGCTGCCAGTGTTGCCCCACCTGCTCTGGACCCCTCGCCACTGAACTGTTATGTGAGAGCCATAGTACAGAACCTAACCTGTACCTTAACTTATATAACTACCTACCCACCAGCCAGGTTAAGACAAAGAACACTGTCAGTACCTTAGCAGACCTAAATGTACACTTCTCCATTATGTCCCCCGACCCCACGCTTCAGAAGTATCCATTAACCTGAATTTGCTGCTCTTTAAGATTTTACTTTGTGGTCTGGATCCCAAAACAACATACTTTTCAGTATTGCATTTTTTATTGTGGTAAAAACACATATAACAAAACATTTGTCATGTCAACATGTCTGTCATGTATAATTCAGTGACTATAATTACGTTCATCATGTTGTGTAACCATCAAATATTTCCATCACCCTTAACAGAAACTCATTGCCCCCTAAATATTGCATATTTTTGAGCTTTACATAAATGGAACAATACTACAGCATGAGTTTTCCACACCCTCTTTTTTCACTAAACATGAGATTCATCCATGGTGATGTGTATAGCTGTAGCTAATTAGCTACATTTTCACAGTTGAATAATATATACTCCATTTTATGAATATACTACAATGTATCCATTCGTCTGCTGATAGACATTTGCTTTTTTTTTCCCCTCCATCTTTGCTATTAAAAACAATGATGTTGTAAAATACTGATACATATCTCCTGGTTCACACATCAACAGTTTCTCTATAGTACGCACACGTTCAACTTCACCAGAAAATACTAAATTGTTTTCCAAAGTAGTTGTACTACTTCCAACTTTGATAAGTGGTAAAAGAGGCTTCTTCCAGCCTCCATTAATGCTGTTGAGAAATCAGCACTGGTCTGATTTCTCTCTGTCTCTGCTTGAAGATCTTCTATGTTTGGTGTTCAGCCGTTTGACTTTTAGGTGTCTAGATTTCATTTTGTATTTATTCTGTGGGAATGTGTGGAGCATCCTAAATCTGAGATTTATCTTTCATCGATTCTGGAAAATTCTCTGCCATTATCTCTTCATATATTGCTTCTCCCCTATTCTCTCTGTCTCCTCATAGAATTCTGATTAGACGTGTATGAGCCCTTCTCGCTCCACCTTCTTGTATTCATTTGCTATTGCTGTCACAAATACTACAAATTGAGCCTCTTAAAACAGCACAAATTTATTATCTCACAGTTCTGCAGGCCAGAAATCCAGGAGGCTCGGCTGGGCTCTGCTCAGCGTATCACAAGGCCAAATTCAAGGTGCCAGCAGAGTTGTATTCTTACTGGCGGTCCTGGGGGATAATCCACCGGCAGGCTCATTCAGGGGGTTAGCCAATTCAGTTACCTTCTGCTGTAGGACTGAGGTCCCTGTTCCCATGTTGGCTGTTGACTTAGTCATCTAGTGCTGCTGTAACAGAAATACCACAAGTGGATGGCTTTAACAAACACGAATTTATTCTCTCACAGTCTAGGAGACTAGAAGTCCAAATTCAGGGTGCCAGCTCTAGGGGGAGGCTTTCTCTCTGTGTCAGTTCTTGGGGAAGGTCATCAATCTTTGCCTGGTCTAGAAGCTTCTCAGAGCAGGAACCCCGGGTCCAAAAGACGTGCTTTGCTCCCGGCGCTGCTTTCTTGGTGGTATGTGGTTCCCCTGTCTTTCTGCTCGCTTCTCTCTTTTATATCTCAAAAGAGATTGACTCAAGATACAACCTAATCTTGTAGATTGAGTCCTGCCCATTAACATAACTGTTGCTAATCCCACCTCATTAACATCATAGAGGTAGGATTTACAACACATAAGAAAATCACACCAGATGACAAAATGGTGGACAATCAAACAATACTGGGAATCATGACCTAGCCAAGCTGACACACATTCTTGGGCGAAACAATTCAATCCCTGACAGCTGTCAACCGGAAGTCATTCTCAGCTTCTAAAGGCTGCCCACTTTCCTTGGCTCGTGGCCACTTTCCTCCATTTTCAAAGCCAGCAACAGCATGTTGAGTCCTTCTCACACATTGAGCCTCTGCTCTGCTTCCCTCATCTGCATCATCTCTCTGATCTCAGATGGGAAACGTTCTCCACTTCTAAGGGCTCATGTGTTAAGACTGGGCCCAGCCAGATAATCCAGGATACTCTCCCCATCTCAAGGTCTCTAACCTTAATCACATCTGCAAAGTCCCTTTTGCCATGTAATATATTTACAGATTATGGGCATTAGAGTGTGGACATCTTTGGGTGGGGCATTATTCTGTCTACCTATAGCTCTTAATTTTTCTTTCATATTTTACAACTCTGTCTCTTAGTACTGCAATCCAGGTAATTTCTTCATTTCCCTCTCCCAGCTCACTAACCTTCTCTCCAGCTGTATACAATCTATTGTTTAATCCTTCTATTCAGCTTCTATTTTCAATTATATTTTCCTAGAAGGTCTATTTGATTCTTTTTCATTTATGCCTGGTCATTCTTTATAATCTCCTTTTCCTTAGTCATACTTTCAAAACGTGTGTGTATGTATATATGTACACATCTTTACATACACGCACACATAGACATACTTATTTTATCCAATAATTCCATATCTGCAGTCTTTAGAGACCTGATTCTGCTTGTTGTTGTTTCTTCTGCCTCTATCACTCATGTGGCTTGTTTCCTTATATGGTTTGCAATTTTTGATTATACATTCATGTCCCTTGGAACTTTATCTGTGGGAAGACTTGAAGACTAAAGATTTGCATTTGCTGCTCCCAGTCACCTCGGGATGCTACCAAATTAGGTAAATTACCCACTGTGGTTTTATTCAGGTCACTTGGATAATGTGAACTCTGGCCCTAAATCCATATGATGTCTGAATTGCGGTCCTTAATTCTCAAGGAACACCTTTTATCCCTTCACCCAGAGCTAAGATTTAGAAGGATCAGTTTTCTTACGCTCTTTCTGTGGAATGGGCTTTTTCCTAGTTCATTCACCTGGGGTGTAACCTTTTCCATCTCCATTCTGACCTGTACCTTGCACAGGCCCAGGTCTTGTCTCCTGTCCTCTGTGAACATCCCTGTGTCTAGACTTCTAGATTTTAAACCACAAGAAGAAAAGCAAATATGCTCATGTCTGTTGACACAGTAATCTCTCTCTTGGGAATATCTCCTAAGGATATAATTTACAGAAAAAAAACGATTGAGATGTTTATGTTCTTCCTGTGTGATGGAAGGAAGAGGATTGGAGAGCTCTTTCTGTACTTGGCAAGCTTGTAGGATCTATGAGGAATGGTGATATAAGTCAATGATTATATAAATGCAGATAACAAGGGGAAAGGATGTTTGGTTTTCATAAGAGAATTCCTGATTAATCGGTAACAATCCTGACATGACATTAAACAGGGAGGCAATGAAATGTAAGAGTCAGGAGAATGATTAATTTGAACTTTCCACAAGCCTCTAACAAAGTTACAAAGTTCCATACTGAAGTCATTTAAAAAATATACATTAAGTCAAACGTACACCTATATTTATACCTATACTTTTCTGGTTACTTGGCAGGAAAATGCCAACCTCAGGCAGATTCAGAATAGAAAAAGGGGTCCTGGCTTTGGGATCGGGCAGAAGAGCAGCAGATGAGCTTCACTGTGGGCAAGGACAAAGTTAAAGTGTCACAATAACAACGCGGGGAAGTATAACAAATCACAGTGCTCTAACTTGCTCTCTCAAAATCACTCTAGTCCAGACCTCTCCCACTTAGACGAACACAACAAAATGCTCCCTAACTGATCTTCCCATCTTCACTTCAGCGCCTTGTGATCCATTTTCCAACTACAATCAAGGATATTTTAAAAATAATATAAAATCTGATTAAATCATCCCATTGGCCTAAAAGCCTCCAATGGCTTCCTATTACTCTAAGAAGGGAGACAATTCCTGAGCATGACCTACAGGGCCCCACAAGCCGCCCGGCCTCCCCTTCAGCCTCCTCTCCCACCACCTTCACCTCACTCTCTGTCCAGCCACTGGCCACGTTTCAGTCTCTTGCATGCCGCCTTCCTCCCACCACAGACTATTCCATCTTTCCCTAGTGAATCCCATCCATTCCTCAGATCTCACTTCCAACGTCCCTCCTCAGGGGGGCGCCACCACCAGCCTCTGTTATTCACTCTCAGAGCTCCAATGTCCATCACTGCTGTGAGAGATAACTGCAAACTCGGTGGCTTAAAACAACATTATTTTGTTCTCATACAGTTCTGGAGGCCAGAAGTCTGAGACCGGCTGCCCTGGGCTAAAATCGAGGTGTTGGCAGGGCCGCCTCCTTCTGGAGGCTCTAGAAGAGAATCCATTTCCTTACCTTTTCCGGCTTCTAGAGGCTGTCTGGAGCCCTGGTGGTGTAGTGGTTAAGAGCTCGGCTGCTAACCGAGAGGTCGTATCTACCAGCCGTTCCTTGGAAACCCTATGGGAGAAGTTCTACTGTCCTATAGGTTGCTACAGGTCAGAATCAACTCGATGGCAACAGTTTAGAGGCTGCCTGCTTGGCTCATGGCCCCTTCCTCCCTCTTCAAACTGCATCGCTCCAGTCTCTGCTTCTGTCATCACATGGCCTACTCTCTGACTCTGACCCTCTTACCCCCCACTTATAAGGACCCTTGTGGTCATATAGGGACGGCCCAGATAAACCAGGATCGTATCCCCATCTTAAGATTGTGAATCACATCTGCAAAGTCCCTTTTGTCACATAAGGTAACACAGTCACAAATTTTGGAGACTGGGATGTGGAGATCTCTGGGGGACCCTTAATCAGTCTACCACAGCTGTGTACACTTACCTAAGCACTTATCACAGTTAGTAACAACATGTCATATACTGATTTGCGACACTATTTAATTAAGGTTCATCAGCTCCCTAGGCTGGAAACTCCACAAGGATAAGAACAAGAGTCTGTGTTCATTCCTGGGCCAGTGCTCAGTAAATGTGTATTAAATGACTAGATGGATTAGTATCCAGTCACTAGAAACAATCACAGGGAAGGTAAAGTGGCAACATGCAACATGGAAACTTTTCCTTTTAATGTGCATTATTGTTTTCACTTTGCATAATAAATAAAAACCAAGAGAAAAAAATTACAGTAATGAATAAGCTCATAAAGAAGTTCACCCAACAAAAGTAAAAAAAAGAAAAATTACTTACTTAGTATCCAAAAGCTGAAGCTGGTGGTTACTATCCCTGTGGGACAACTTCAGTTTGGTGCTTTGCTCGGATATTGACAAGTCCACTCTGTTCAAAAGCTGAGAAATCTGGAAAAAGAAACCTTCCTTGTAAAAATCACATCTAAATTCTTCAGATGTGATTCAGAAAAAATTTAGTAAAGTTTATTCTAGCTAATGGCATTAGGGGACCTGGTGGTGCAGTGGTTAAGCGTTTGGTTGCTAACCTAAAGGTCAGCAGTACAAACCCACCAGCTGCTCTTCGGAAACCCTATGGGGCAGTTCCGCTCTGACCTATAGGGTCGCTACGAGTTGGAATGGACTCGACGGCAACGGGGGTGTATATGTATGTAGTCAATGGCATTAAAGATTCAATCTAACTTAATAAATTCATTTACGACTTTGCCTCATCTTTCCACCACCGTTTTCTTTCATACCCTTCAAAAATCAAGACCAGTAACATTGCCAGAATATTCATCATGCACTCAACACCGAGCAGTTCTCTGATGACCAAGGATCTCTGCTTCCACCAGCTGGTATAAAATACAGTCATTTTTACCTTGGAATCTCTACCATTAACAGGGCTGCTAGTAACAGAGAATAGAATTCTTATTGCTTACAAAATCCATTAATGTCCCAGATTTACCTCAGCATCAAGTCAGGTCACAGAAAACACAATTTGTCGACTATATCCCTCCTGCTATTTTCTCCCATTACCCACCTGTTTCCCTTATCGTTTTACTAAAAGTTTATATAAAAACAAGGCTTGTGTGAAATGTCTACATTTTCTGTAAAACTTATGATGTTCAAGGTTCCTTACCTAACGACTCATGGAACAAGTATGTGTCAGACCCCTAAACAAAAAGTAAGTATGTCTCTTTTGATGGATTTCTATATGTATTTTACTTGGCTTGGCCATCAGGCAGTTCAAGATTTCCTTAGCTTTGATTTTCTGATGTAATAATTCTGTCCTTATTCATGTATTTTTTAAAAAAATCAGTGGACTTGTCTTGTATTCTTTTTTTCATGGTTTTATTACACCTGTGTTTTTCACATTGGAGCTCAGTAGGATAGAAATATTTTCAACCCAATGAGTTGCCCCTACTTTACTGGAATGGTGTTGGTAGTTGCTGTTGAGTCAATCCCAGCTCGTGGCGACCCTAGGTGTGCAGAGTAGAACTGCTCCATAGGGTTTTCAAGGCTGTGATCTTTTGGAAGCGGATTGCCAGGCCTGTCTTCTGAGGTGCCTCTGGGTGGATCTGAACCACCAACCTTTCAGTCAGTAGTTGAGTGCTTAACCATTCGCACCACCCAGGGACTCCTTTTACTGGAATAGTCTCTCTTTAAATCAAGAGTAGCAACTTGGGCAGATACTGTGGGGAAAATGGGGAAAAGTTCTAAAGACAGACCGTATTATGGCAAAAGAAGCACTGGTGGAGCGGTGGTTAAGCGCTCTTCTGCTAGCCAAAAGGTCAGCAGTTCAAACACACCAGCTGCTCCATGGGAGAAAGACGGGGCAGTTTGCCTCCATAAAGATTATAGCCTTGGAAACCCTATGGGGCAGCTCTGCTCTGTCTTATAGGGTTGCCATGAGTCAGAATCAACTCGACGGCAACGGGTTTCCCTGGTTTTTTTTTTTTTTTTTGGTTTTGTATTATGGCAAAGAGAAACCTGTAAGTGGGTAAAAATAAGTTGTAAAATGCCAATGGTTTTGCTTTGTGAAATTAATCTATACATTTTAAGGTAGACTACCCTAAAATTAATTAGCTAACTACCTGCTAGCTTTGCCCTAGTTTTGCCCACATAAAGACTCCATGCTGAGGCTACACGTAGGCGAGTCCCAGTGAACACAATTATTTCCCGAACCAAAACTTGGGACAAGCGGCATGTAAAAGAATGTTGCTCGCTTACTGTGCAAGAGGTAGGGTTGGAGAGATAATTGAGAATTTCTGAAATATGTTCATTGTTTTAGGAATGAGGGGAAAGAATCTTTAGAAGTAGGACTGTACCAAAAAACTCTTGGAGGTGTGGTTGCCATACCCTTGAAGGGACACTCCAGAAATAAGAGGGAAGGAAGACGTAAAGAAAAAAGATGCTCTGATTTGCAAAAACCCTTGCTGGGTGCCCCAGCTGCTTTCACCTGTAAGAATTATAATCAACAGCATGTTATTCTTAGCTAAGAACAAATTACCCGCTTTTAAAAGGCTACCTGAAGCAGGTCATACCTGTCCCTCTGCGTCTTTAATTTTTGTTTCCAAGATGAGCTTGGCAGCTTGCTGTTCCTTGTTCAAGTGCTGAAGCCCCTCGTAGGTGGATTTGTGCTCTGCAGAGAGTCTGGCTATGCTGGCGTCACATCTGTCCAGACAAACACCAGCGTGACTTCTGGTTGAAGTTTAGAACTGCAACCCCGCTAAAAGAAACTACACTAGCAATCATTCTTTTCAACGAATTTTCCAACATATTCAGATAACCGCTCTCATTATGGTTTTTAAGTTAAACCACAGGGACAGTGCTTAATAAGACTAGAGACGTACCATCAAAGCAGCAAAAGCTTTCCCGTGCTCCTGAGTTCAAAACCGTACACGCAATGTGAGTTCAATTACAGAAAGCACACATGGCATGCCAGATGTGGTCTGGTGTTCTTCAGTACCGTCTGCATCCTTGCAAGTTCCAGGCCTCCTTGGATTTTGGAGGCAACTTCTACCACATTTGAAAGTACTACTCCAAACCTTAGACCAAATAACCTGTAGGGCTGCATGCTTTGAGTGGGGCCCAGAGCGAGGGAAGGTTCTGAAGCTGGTCCAAGCTGCAGTGAAAGCTGCTCTGCCCCTTGGGCCTTACAGCTTAGCAGATCCAGTGGTGCTCAAAGAATGTATGGCAGGTGAACAGTGTATGGAGCCTCTGTCAAGCCCTGATAGGGCTGCTAGCTTGCTATTGGGCTGCAGTAGAAACTGAAAGCTTAAGCATGAGACATTAAGTGACCACGTAATCTGAGCAATCCACCATGAATGCCAAGCCATAAAGTTGGGCATGTGAGCAGCACTCCATCTTCAGGGGGAAGGGGGATACAGAGACCAGGCTTGAGCAGCTTCTGAAGGCACAAGTTACATAAGCCCGGACTCCCATGGTATCTACTCCTGCCACTGTGCCAGCTCTCTTTCAACTCACACCTATGGCTCTTGAGGAGCCCTCAATGATCGTTGACTGAAGAAGGAAAAGTCAGGCCTGACTTACACGTGGTCCTAGCCAATATACTGGTGCCATCTGGAAGAAGACTGCTGAAGCTTACAGGCCCACTCAGGGGTATCCCTAAAGCACACTAAGCAAGGGAAACTCTCAGAGTTGGCAGAATTTCAAACAGTATATCTGGGGGTTCACTTTGCCTAGGAAAAGAGTCAGCCAGACATTCATGGGAGGTTGGCTAGCGGCCAAAGACTTGGGAGAAAAAAAAATATTGGAGGATTGGTGACAAAGGGAAGAGGTATATAAATGGATCGCTCAGAAATTACCGAGTATTTGTGCTCCGTATGAATGCTCACCAAAGACTATTCACCGCAAAGGAGGCTCCTGACAATGTGAACGAGATGACACATTATTGTACGTCAGTCACCTCTTTTCCAACCACCCCAGTCATTACTCAAAGGACTCATGTATCAAATGGCCGTGGCAGCAGGACTCCATACAATGGACTTTCGTTTACCAAGGCTGATCTGGCTACCATCACTGCTGAGTGCCTAACTTGTCAATGGCAGAGCAACGCTAAGCTCCCATCCGATGTGGCATCCTTTCCCAAGTAGACCAGCTCACTGCCTGGTGCCAGGTTGATTGTGTTGAATGCCTTCCATCATGGAGGAGGCAGCATTCCTTGCCTCAGCTCCTCTTCCAGAACCACCATTTATGGACTTCGTGAATAATATCTTATTCACCATGGTGATATCCCTCATAATATTGCTTACGAACAAGGAACTAATTTTACACCCAAAGAAGACAATGGACACATAGTTACAGGATTCACCATTCTCGCTATGGACTCCATCACCCAGAAGCGCTGCACTGGTAAATGGTGGAACGGCCTATTAATAACTCAGTTATGTGGCTGCCAGATGACAACACACTGCAGGGGTGGGGCATTGTCTATAAGATGCAGTAAAGCTCTGTACGAACACCAGAATAGGGTGATGATTTCTTCCATAGTTAGAAACACGGATCCAGGAACCAAGGAGTGGCTACTCTCACCATTATCCCTAATGATCCATTTGTAAAACACTTGCTTCTCTTTCTTGCAGCTTTGGACTCTGCTGGTTTTCCGAGGGGGTAATGCTTTCACCAGGGGTCAACAATGGTTCTAATAAACTGGAAGTTGTGACTGCCACCTGGCCACTTTGGGCTCCTCAGGCACAAAATGGGAGGTTACTGTAATGGCTGGGGTGACTGATCATGATTATCAAGGAGAAACAGAGATGCTGCTCCCCAATGGGAACAAAGAGCATATATGGAATTTTCTTAGTACTTCCATGCCAAGCAGTGAAAGTTAAAGGAAGGCCACAGTAAGCCAATACACAGTAAGCCAATACACAGTAAGCCAATACACAGTAAGCCAATACACAGTAAGCCAATACACATAAGACCTCAATGACTCAGACCCTTCAGGAATGAAGGTTTGAGTCATCCCACTATATACTGAAACCTCACAACCAACTGAGGTTTTCACTGAAGTATGGGACATAGAGTGGGCAGCAGAAGAAAGAAGTTACAAGAAAGAAGCCCTTATTCTCCCCTGGCAGTGGTGAACAGACATATGGACAGTCTCTTCCAGGCACACTCCTGTAGATCACTTACATCAGTGCTATACACAGCTAAGAGTATCAATGGTTCCTTTCTGTGATTCTTGCACTTCCTATTTTCCTGAAAGCCAGTGCAGTTCTCCTTACCTTTGCTCCCCCGAATATTCCAATGGTTTTGCAAATCTCTAGTTTTTTTTTTTTTTTGTATTAAATCCCTTTCTGTTAAAGTATGTAGAGTGGTTTCTGTTTTCCTGACCAAACCCTGATATAGTCATCAGAAGTTTACAAGAGAGCATGCAAAATATTAAGCAATTATCTCCAAATCATGTATAATTTTTCTTTTTCATGTTTTTTCTAAATTATACACCTTTTCTACAATAAATATAACCCAACCAAACCCACTGCCATTGAGTCGACTCTGACTTATAGCGACCCTATAGGACAGAGTAGAACTTCCCCATAGGGTTTCCAAGGAGCAGATGGTGGATTGGAACTGCCGACCTTTTGGTTAGCAGCTGAGCTCTTAACCACTGCACCACCAGGGCTCCAACAATAAGTACATATAATTTTTATGGTCAGAAAAAGACAATTACACAGAATATTTTCATTAACAGTCATGTTTAAAAAAAAAAGTATTACAGTTTTATGGAATAGTCAGTGCCCTACCATCTCTGCCCAAGCCCCTCATGAAACAGAAATAAGGCTGGAGAACAAGGAAGCCAGGCTGGAATGATGTGGGATAGAGTCAATTCATGAACATGAGGTCAGGTACACCTAGCAGAAGTCGAGAAGCTATAGTCGGAACCCCCTCTAATTCAGTCAATAAGTATTTTTAGAGTGCCTACCTATGTGTCAGATACTATTATACAAAGTGGGGATATAGCAGGAATATGTTCTCACCAACATCCACACTGCACTGTCCAGAGATTTTAAAAGCAGGCTTATACCAACACTACCAAAATGTTATTCAGCTTATACGTATATTTTTCTATTATTTATGGGGATTACATTTGACATCTTGTTCTGGTTCTTTTCCCCATTGATTCAGACAAATGAGCGCAGAAGATTGTTTGGGGACTTGCTGAACAAATCGTTATAAATACACACAGAGAAGAGCAAGACTGTGGCCAGTTAAGCTGTCAGTAAATCAGCAGTCTACAGTTTTCCTAAATGCATAGGGGATGTATTCCTTAAGATGTATACGTGCACTGAGATAGACTGAACACTGACAAACTTTATGACCTAAATGATTTAGATACTGAAAAGAGTCTTACTAAATCACACAGAATATTTGCAATCAACTGTCAAAACCAGCATATTAATCGACAAAGGTTAAATTAAAACTCTTCAAAATGTAAATAAAATAAAATATTATTGATCTATAGTATCTAAGCCATGAATAAAGATTAGAGGGCATACCAGTGCTTGGTAGACTTTGTAAGAAGCTGGAATTTTCAGTTAGTTCACTAAATACTTGTATTAAAATGTTGCCAATTGAAAATACCACTTGGTCTTTCAGTTAAACCTGGCAAATGAACACAAGCCCTTATCTTGGCTCCTTCATGTAAACCTATCAAGATGACAGAAGATGAATAAAAAAGTTATAAACCCACAAGGACAAAAAGAATAGGAGAAAATGGAAAGCAGATGGATCATATAGAAGACAAAGCAAAGCATATGTTTTGCTACAGATGGTGCTGTAGGCCTGCTGGGGCTCTGTATCTAAAAACCAGTTGAAATAAGAGTGAGTTTCAGTTCTCACAGGGCAATAGTGGACAAGAACTAGCTCTACTGGTAGCATAAGACAGGAGCCAGGGTAACTAAAACCAGAGGCTTGCATGGAGCCCCATCAGCTATGGAAAGAAGCTGAAAAAAAAGCCTGGGATAAAATGACTTAAAAAATATGTTTAAGATACTCAAATACACAGAATAGGGGAAGTCAGCACAACTTGACCAAGACAAAGTCATAGAAGCTTCCTAGACACATCCAAACACCTTGAGGGACTGAGTTTTGGGGGTTGAAGGCTGGGTACCATGATCTTGAGGGACATCTAGGTCAGTTGGCATAATATAGTTCATAAAGAGCAAGTTTTATGTACTACTTTGGTGAGTAGCATCTGGGGTCTTAAAAGCTTGTGAGCAGCCATCTAAGATCTATCTATTGGTCCCATCACATTCAGAGCAAAGGAGAATGAAGAAAACCAAAGACACAAGGAAAAGATTAGTCCAAAGGACAAATGGACCACATGAACCACAGTATCCACCAGACTGAGCCCAGAAGAACTAGATGGTGCCCGGCTACCACCACCAACCACTCTGACAGGGAGTAAACTAGAGGACCCCAGATAGAGTAGGATAAAATTGTAGAACAAAATTCAAATTCACAAAAAAAGACGAGACTTACTGGTCTGACAGAGACTGGAGGAACCCCTGAGACTATTGCCCCAGGACACCCTGCTAACTCAGAACTAAAGCCACTTTCAAAGTCTACCTTTAAGTTAAAGACTAAACAAGCCTATAAAACATATATTAACAGACATGAAGAATGTGCATCATAGTTCAATCAAGTAT